TTTTATAAATTAATTTTTATAATATTATTATTAATATTTAATTAAATATAAAAAACGTGCATCTATATATAAAATATCTGATTTTTGAAACATAAAACATAAAATCTGATTTTAGAATTCACATCTCCAAAAGTAGGAAGTTGTGTAATTTTCACATTTTTCATTAGTATAATTAGTCAATTAAAAATCGTCGGCTTTACTGCTAAGTTACTAGACGAGTCGAGGTACCGACCTCGGGAGTTGAGACCAACGGCTCCAAAGTTGTTATAATTTAAGTGAGATATATTAAAATTGTGTGAAAAAATAATTGTAATCCCATTCGTAGAGAAAAGTTTCCTTGTCGATGCTTGCTCCAAATCTCGCTTTGATGCCTTGTTTGCCCTAACCATCGATGTTGTTTCCGAAATCCAAAGCTTTATTCTTACTTTTAGGCAAGCGAACGCAAGTTTCACTGCCTCCAACCCATCTAGCAGGAAACAACCTTTTCCATTTTGGATGATTATGTTCATACTAAATTGTAATAATATTAAAAGCTATTAACTTATATTCATTATCACACTTATATTCTTTGATTCAACTAGATTTTGGGTTGGCTAAATCATAGGTAACATAGCGATCGGCCATGTCAACGTTTCGATTATTAGATAATGGATACTTTTGCTGCTTGAATAATTGTAACTTGCATTATTTTCGTTTTCAATAATTGTAATAATGTTCTATTGTAAAGGAAGTGATACTTCTTTTTTTATTGCTTTACTTTATTTCTATTGTAAAGGAAGTAGTACTTTCCCATTTATAGTTTTGTTTTATTTCAATTGTAACCACGGTATTCTTTAAAAAAAGTGAGGACATAATTCGTACAGGTACCGTCACAAGTGAGGACATATTAATAAATTCTCGGAGGTACCGTCCTCTTTCCTTATTAAAAAAATAAAAAAAATTTAAATTCTTAACTTTTTTTCTTCATCATATTTTTATTTTTAACATTTCATTAATTAGAAAATCTTGACCTTAATCATAATTTTCGTCCAAAAATAGCGTTAACATGTTTTAAAATAAGGATCAAATATTTAATAGCATTTTTTCAGTATTAAATATCTTGTTTTTCCAAAAAATACAATGATAAATGAGTCATTTTACTATATATTAAAAGAAAATTTTGAAGAGAAGCCATAATTTATAACAATTTATATTAATTTGAGAATAAGAATACAAAGAAAAAAATGTTGGAGACATAAATGTGATAATGTGTAGATGTTATGCACCTTTCGTGCAATTAAACTATAGTTTAGTTATTAAAAATGTGGTGCGAATATTTTTAGCCTTCTCATTTTGCATTCTCGACTTACCATACAAAGGGTTCGACAAGAAACACACCGAAAAAAAAGAGTAAAACTATTTAGTGCTTGTTTGTCTTCCATTTTGGGAGAAGAAATAGAGTTTTGAATAATATTTTTTGGAGAATGTGTGGTTGAAAAGTACAGTAATTTTATTGATTTGTGTGTATAATATTTTATTGATTGAATATGTGGTGGAAATTATTTACTGTAACAAACAATGTTTGATAAAATGGATGACAAACATGAGCTTAATCTCACTAGTATTGTAATTTCAGTCTAAGTGACATCAACGTGACATTAAATTATAGGTGAAATTAATGATTCGTTTAATTTCACCTTTAATTTAGTTTATCATTTAGAGCCCGTTTGATAGAGATTAAAATTGGATTAAAATTAAAAAACTAGCCGTTATTGTTGATTTTTATTAGACGAGTGAGGTCCAATAACGGCTATACTTTTAATTTTAATTGAATTTTAATCAGTACCAAACGGGCTCTTACCTTCATATAAATTGGATTCTCTGTGGGACTACGTGGCATTACTCGGAGAAAAAATAGAGAGAGATTCGCGAACTCAAAAAATTTACTATAAATGTAACTCCGTATAATATTTTCTAATTCTCAAATAAAGTTTAAAAATAGGTAAACTTCGGTAGTGGACACGGAACTTAGCGTACCAAACTCGTGTTTCTTCCTTGGTACACCTGTACACACAACGTCATACTAATGCTAATAAAATAATAAATTAAATATTTGTTGACGAATAGCATTTGGATTCAATGGCCTTTTCATTCGAAGAACCCTAGCTCAGTTTTGTCTCCTACTCAACAATTCATTCAGCGATTCCAACTACAAGACAGGTATGATGAACACACATGTAATTCAGCATATGTATATAAATATTTGTGTGTGTATTTTTTAGTTATTTATTATATTTTTTGTTTAGCTTTTTGAATTTTATTATTTGCTCTAGTAATTTGTAAACGTAAGGGTTTCGATCGTTGAATGGAAGTCGAGAATTGAGGTTGAATTTTCAATACAGACAGATTGGTTTTGGGGAATATGAGAAAATCTGAGGTTTTGTTATGTGAACGAAAAATATAAAAATGTATACTTTTATGATTTTATATTTAATGGTTTAATCTAAAAATAGAACTGATGATTGTTTTTAAATAAGAAAGTTCTTGTAGCGGTGTTTTTCTAATTTTATTTTGAGAACTAAATTTTATCCGAAGATTATTATTTTGTAAAATTATTAAGTTAATATGGAAAATTACTCAAAAAGATAGTGTTTTTTTTTGGACTGATAATGAAGCTGCAACATTAAGTTCGAAATGAATGAAAAGTCAAAACAAACTCCGATAGAGTTGAAATCATATGATTTTGTGGTACATACACGTTGATCTTGTGTATTTGTTGGGTGAAATGCCTCTCTATTTATTCTTCTGTCTTTGTCTAGTGAATAGTTGTTATTGAATATGATTGTTAGGCAATTTTAAGTTTCTTTGTAGTGAATTTGTGGTTTAGTGATATTATTGTTTTTCAAAAGGAATACTACTTTTCCAATATGTTTTGCTATTGGGATAGAGTTTTCCTTGAATCCTTGGGATTGAGTTCATCTATTTTCTTGTTTGTTCCTCCAAGGTCGGATAGAGTCAATCTTTGTCATTACTTGTTCACTGAGATTGATTTTTTTTTTTTTTCCTTTATGGCTGCTTTGATTTACTTTTTCTTTTTATAGTTGCTGTTATCGTCTTTAAAGTTGATTTTTTTACTTTCTCTTAAATTTCACAGATCTCTATTTTCTATAGTTATTACACTGTAAATTTAAAATAATGTATTCTGCTTTTAATTAACAAGCTCGTGCATACTTGCGCTTTGATGCATTTATTAGAGAGTGATGACCAAAAATACTTGTTGATTTCAATAAGTTTACATAATCTAAATTGAAAGTTAAGTTCTTAATTGCGTTAAATGTAGATAGGAATTTTTGGTAGCATTTAATGCTTCTGAGAACCGACTCATCCTGAGTTGAATTAGCTGGTATATTAACTATTGGGATTGAAAAATAGATGCAATAGGGGATGTATAAATTACACGTATGTGTCATGAGATGACTCGAAAGTTTTTTTTTTTCCCAGAAAAGTTGAGCACCGAAGGGGGCAGCCTGTTCACTTCCTCTTGTACAATATATCGAGTTTCAAAGTGTTCCTTTGGAAATCTATGAATCAAAATTAAAAATTTGGAGAAGGATTCAATTTCAAACTTTTGGACCTTTGTGGTGAGTTTTACAGCACAGCTATGATGCCATTTTTTTCTTTTTCAGACATGCGTAAATATGCAACTTGTGATATCAGATTTGTAATGTCGAGCTGTTCTTCTTGTTTTCTCCCTTTATTATTATTATTATTCCTTTTTAAACATGTTCTTTTTTCACAGCTATGTGAATTATGCCAGTATATCAGTGTTCATAATTTTCTTATACTTTGGAGTAATTAATGGTCTACAAGTAAAATTCTACTGATATGCAATTATTTCCAGGAAGAAAACAAGCTTTTGCAAGTACCTGCTTGCTGATGTAATCTTTTATTTATTCCTCACCTCTTCATGTGATAATGAAAGTACGATGGTTGTTAAGTTTTAAAGTATAACAACTTAAGAAGCATCTCTGTCTAATTGATATGGTGTTAGTCAAATTCCATTTATGTATCTTTCGCTTCTTTGTTCATATCTTTCTTCATGTCTGAACAATGCATCAGATATACTGCATGTTGTGTTGTGATTATAATTTTTTGTTTTGTGCTCATATCGAGTAGCATCGAAAATCTAGCTACTTTCCAAGTTCTTTACTAAATCTTGACTTCTTCCTACCATGTTTTGATGATATTTTTGTTCTTCTATCTGTATTTATGTTGTTTTCTTTTTTTTTTTGAAGAAGAAGAAGTTATGAGTTAAACATATACAAGTTGTTGTAGCCTTATATGATACTAAGTTTGGTTTAGGAATATCTTGGTTCTTATTATACTTTCTAAGCCTCAGGTGCATTATTTGCTTTTTGTGTGGTTTACATAATGCACTCACAAGATTCTACAACCATGTTTCCTTATTTCTGGACTCAGGAGTTATGGGGATTTCTTATCGACGCGACCGAACCTACTCAAGTTTGTGGATGATTGGTTTTCTTATTACATCTAATAATCAAGACAAGTGATGAAATACACTGTGTTTTAGCAATTTGTCTTTCCTAGTGACTGCCAGCAGCTCCACGAGTATCTAGGAAACGTGTCAAACTCTAGCCTTTTTGTGTTTTACCATTTCTCGTTGCTAAGGTTTTAGAGGTAGCTACTACATGTTAAAAATTACGAGATAGAGATAACTTGATTATTGATTCCATAAAGGTTTATTATGATCCTTTGTAATTGTATTCTAATAGATGCAATTGCCTGGAATATGGACCTTTTGCATACAAAAATAGGCAACCTTTCATTATCGAAATTTTAAATTGAGATACTTTGCTGCATGTCAACTGGAAGACAAATGTTCTATGTTGTGAAAAGCTTGTTAATTTGTTTTATGATTTGGGAGGGTGCCTTGAGTTTGGAGTTGGTCCCATTATGAATTATAGTTTACGAATATGTAGTTTGTAGGTTCACGTCGTTCAACATGTTATCCAAACATTGATTTTTCAAGATACTCGTACTGATTCAAATGTTTCACTACTTTATACTTAGTTTTATAATTAAATGCTCATTCATAACAAAATTTAGTTGATGTTTTACTTCTGTTATTTGTTATCATGGGGTGACTCGCACTCAGAAAATCAAAAGTCTACACAATAAGCTAGTGAATTCAAATGGATCACCAAGTAAATGGACAGCCCCAAGGTATGGGAGTGGTGGGTAGCTCTGCTCAGAATCCACAAAGTGTGACATCATACCAAGGTAACCAAATGACAGTACCCTCTGGCCCTGCATCAGCTGGTTCGACTCAATCTTCACAAACAGCTGGGCTCTTGACCTCTCCAACTCAGATGGCTCAACACCAACTTGCTTATCAGCACATCCATCAGCAGCAGCAACAGCAATTGCAACAGCAACTCCAGAATTTTTGGGCAAACCAATATGAAGAAATTGATCAGGTAACAGATTTTAAGAACCATAGCCTGCCATTGGCTAGGATCAAGAAGATAATGAAGGCAGATGAAGATGTTAGAATGATATCAGCTGAAGCACCGGTTATCTTTGCCCGAGCCTGTGAAATGTTCATTCTGGAGTTGACGTTGCGTGCATGGAACCATACAGAGGAGAACAAAAGGAGGACACTCCAGAAAAATGACATTGCAGCAGCCATTACAAGGACGGACATATTTGATTTCTTGGTTGATATTGTACCAAGAGAGGATCTGAAAGATGAGGTGCTTGCTTCAATCCCCAGAGAGAGCCTTCCTGTTGGGGGTCCTGCTGAAGGACTTCCTTACTATTACATGCCACAACAACCTGCTCCACCACTTGCAGCTCCAGGGATGTTTGTGGGGAAGCCTGTGGATCCTGCCCTATATGGTCAGCAGCCTCATCCTTACATGGGTCAGCAAATGTGGCCACAGCAACCACCACCACCTCCAGATTCTTAAGCAGGTACACCAACATGGGTTGCTATATCTGTGATATATCGTATTCTTGCCGCATACGATCATTATAGTCAGTGCCTTTTCTTGTGATGTGTAGCTTGATAAGTTGATACTGTGGGTTCTTTTCCTGTCTAGTAGAAAGCTCTGCTGTTAGGACAAGTAGTTCATTAGTTGTGATTGTTTAATCCTCTTTTCTTGTTCTAATTTATTTCCTACAATTCTATATTGGGTCATGTTTCCATCATTCTAGTTGCTTGGGCACAATAAATTTTCTTCTTGTTCCTTAATTTCCATTATAGTAAGATAGCATTTACAGATAACTCTTGGTTGCTTATCTCTTGGAGTTTTATTTATAGTTTCTCTATTGTTTTCATCTCATTAATTCTTTTTTGCACCACCGCCCCTTTAACTGAAAAAGATTTTTAGCAAACTAAATAGAGAAATATGCCCTTCTTCCATTATTTTCTTTTGTAGAATGCCATTGTTGATCTTTCAGATTCATTATTTGGTTCAGTGTCTAGCCTCTGTGTTCCATAACTCGTCTTTATTTGATTTATTTAGAGACTGGACACTATTTTTTGCAATAATAATCTGATATAATTTTGATTTAAAGTGAGTACAAAACAGTTAATATATCAAATTGTTCCTCCAGGTTTTTACTGTTTTTGGTGGCAGAGACTGATCTTTTGTTGTAATTGCATTTGCAGAAGTAATTGCTGGAAAGGTCTCTCTGGATTTAGAAATGCTAGGGAGAGTACTTTCAAGTGAGATTATTCTATGTGAAAGGCCTCGAGACTCTTCACAAATGTGTATGGAGTAACTATCCTAACGTTTATATTGTTGACTATGGGCTTGAACTGCAGTTAGCAAGTCTTGTATGATACGACTTTGGCTCTTTTAAACTTTACTATGTTATAACCTATTAATAAGCGTGGCACAGAGATATAAATTACTATTTGTACTTATTTTTTGTTGTCTTTCTGGATCTTTCTTCTCTCGGCCTATTATCAGATTCTAGGTCGTGCAATTCGCTTCTCTCCTTTTAATAGGTCCTCTTTTCTATTGAGTATATTCACGCCGTGCTATTAACATTGAACACTCATATGTAGCTTCACAGTGGCAGAGAGTCGAGCAATATCAGTGTTGGGAGCCCCCCCCCCCCCCCCCCCCCCCCCCCCCCCCCCCCCCCCCCCCCCCCCCCCCCCCCCCCCCCCCCCCCCCCCCCCCCCCCCCCCCCCCCCCCCCCC